TCTGACGCAACGGGACGTGTGCGACGGAGGCTCGCGGATTTGAACCCCAAGGTGATGTACGGTTGTTGAAAAGCGTGTCTAAATATTTATTAGCTATCGTTCTATGAAAAATACTACCTCATATATGCCACATACTGTCAAGACATGCTTTTTGCATTGAGCATCCCTCGACAACATTCACTCGCCGAGAAGTTATCGTTTTCCCAGCTTGCACGGAAACCGAGTCAATCAGACCCTACCCAACGCTCCTACAGCGCCACAGCGTAGTGGCCCTTCAAGAATCTGCGTAATTATTGAATATAAATACCCGGATATTGTTTCTCGAAAAATGAAACACCAACCGGACCCCTTCCCCCCCCCCAATGTCTTCTTTATAACTTTAAAGAAATCCAATGCAGTTTGAACAGCAGGGTCGCAGTCAAATCTCCATAGCAAACTAGGTCACCATAGTGGCCTCAACCATCGTGCGCTGTTGCTTTTTAACTGGCTTGTACATCTCAAACACTTGCTCCCCTAGTTCTTCAAGTTCCCCAAAGAAATACACCAACTCCAGTCGCATGTCCATTGCAAACGCCTCCTTCAATATTTTCTGTCTGTCAACCTTGAAGAGTTTCAGGGATGATGGCTCTGGGACGTACGTACCTTCATCAGGGAAATAGTCGTCGTCTACTTCAAGAGTCTCGAAATAATTCTCGAATTCGCTGCTCTCAACTTCTGAAGCATTTTTTTCTTCTTTTCCATTTCCACCTCCATCTCCTTTAGGCTGTTATGCCGCAACAGCTCTAAGAAGCGTTGGTGATCGTTTTCGGAGTCTTCAAAGAAGGCAGCGACACGTTCTCGTAAAGTGATAGCACACGTACTGACAGGCAGGCAGCTTGTAGTGGCTGGTGCATTGGAGACCAAGCCTTGCCCACTGCACTGGGCCGCACAGGACGTGCGGCCGAGCTGGCATAGACGAGATATACATAGTTGAGGACGATGTGCTTTTCTCCTTTTCAGAGTAGTGATAAGTAGGGCAGTTTGTGTTCTACTTCAGAACAAGCAAGCAATAGATCAAGGTTAAACGGAAGCGCCAGCTTCCCTCGCGTGTGTTCGAGTTTCGACCCA